CACATAAAAGACCCGCCTCCAGCCACGGGCTGCTGCTGGCTCACTTCACTCCCAGACCTACACCTGAGCGCCTACGTCTTTGTGACATTAGTTTATTCCAGCTTTCTCCTTTAATAAACTTTTATAATTGACATTTGTTTGTTTGGTAAATCCTTGGTTATAGCCTAGAGCCGGGTTATAACAGGTGGGGGCTTGTCATAGTGGACTTTGGGACGAGAGTGGTTTGCGGTGTATGTTGGATGTTTTGTCATTTCTCTTTGATGTGTGGGCAAAAGGTGAAGTTGTGCAGAAACATTGGCTGCACTGCAGGTTTTGGTGGATTTGCCTTTCCTATTTGTTTCACAGAGGGGAAGAGCGTTGTTAATTCTGGGAGAGTGGGAGTGAGTCCTGCCCGTAGTCAGTACATCAAGATGAGTAAAGTGTTGTACGGTGCACCTAAACATCTGTCACAGGCCGGTGTCCCACAGGCATAGGGGCGTTGCTCTTTTGGTTTCGCTCGTTTTGTTTAAGTTGCGGGGAGCGGTTAGTGTTCGCCGTTTTCACGGCGTTCTCGGGTGCACGAACCGTGGTCACACTGGTCTCCCCTTGGAGTGCTTAAAACCCCGCCGCAGAACCGTGTGAAGATTAGGGTTGAGATTTAGTGGGCATCGGTTCTGACTTGGGTGTGTTTGTTCTGAGAATAATGGTGAACATCTCCGACTTTTTTGATTCTCCATCTGAGGAGTTTTTGTCCCAGTGCACAAAGGATCAATTGATTGAGATTGGAAAGAGATATGATATTGATATTGATACAAAGCGGAGCAAAGACAACGTAAGATCCATATTGATAGCCAATCTAATTGATCAAAGAGTGCTTGCAGAAAAGCCACATGCCTCTTTGCCTTCTGCAGGTCCATCGGCGGTTTTGACTTATGAACAACGGCTGAGGTTATTAGAATTGCAGTTTGAAATTGAACGGGTTAAGTTGGAACAAATTAAACACGGACAGGAGCAGGCGGCTGGCCGTTCCTCTTTTGGCTCTGATGGTTCTGACAACAGTTTTGACGTCATTGGTAATTTACGGTTGTTACCAACATTTTCTGAAAGTGACCCGGACTCATTTTTTCTGATATTTGAGCGTTTGGCTGTGGCGCGGGATTGGAGCAGTTCTGCGCGTGCAATGCTACTTCAATGTGTTCTTGTTGGGCGCGCGCTGGAGGCACTGTCTACATTGAGCACGTCTGAGAGCCAGGATTATGCCAAAGTTAAATCAGCGGTCCTCAAGGCGTATGAGCTCGTGCCTGAGGCGTATACTGTAGGCAACGTTTTCGGACGTGTTCTAAGGCGGTAGATCAGAGCCATTTGGAGTTTGTGCGTGACCTAAAAATACATTTTATGCGCTGGTGCCAGTCTACAGGAGTGAACACTTTTGAGCAGCTTTCTGAGCTTGTTGTTTTAGAACAGTTTAAAAATTCTGTTCCTGATGTGTGGCGACATATATTTGTAAACAGAAAGCGTTGACGGCATCTGCTGCTGCGTCTTTGGCGGATGATTATGTTCTTACGCATAAGTCATAATTTCTGTCTGAAGTGTACAACGAGCAAGATTTGTCTCCCCGTCTGCGGGAGGCTGATGGCGTTTGTAACTACTGTCGTAAGCGTGGACACTGGAAATCAGAGTGTCCTTTTTTGGTTAAAAATAAGAGGACTCCTGTGTCTCATGCGCACGGCACTGGATTTGTTACGCGTGTGCGTGATGAGAGTGGCGTTGTTGGATCACCTCAAAGAGAGCACAATTCTATTGTGGCTGATTCCTACAGGCCATTTATTCAGTCAGGATTTGTGTCAGTGTTTGGGGACGATTGTATTGTGCCCGTTTGTATTCTTAGGGACACAGGTGCATCTGATTCATTCATATTGTCCGGGGTTCTACCACTGTCTCCACTGTCCGAGACTGGTAAACATGTTCCAGTTTGTGGGATTGGTCTGAATGTTGTGTCTGTACCACTGCACAGGGTAAGGTTGGACTGCGAGTTGTTTAGGGGGGAAGCAGCTCTTGCGGTACGTCCTGCATTACCTTTGGATGGCGTCTCTGTGATTTTGGGGAATGATCTGGCGGGCGCGCACATGTGGAGCTCCACGCCCACTGACACGTCACACGAGGAAATGTCATCCTGCTCAATTGTCCCAGTTTGCACGGTTGCGTGTGTTAGTGCGGGTCCTACTAAAAAACACCGCCAATACGAGCTCCATGTAAGCTCTTATCGTGGTGGTTTGAGTGCTGTGTGTTCAATGCGTGAGGGGTCACGTACACGCGCAGAGTCATGTAACGTGGGTTTTGCAAAGTATCAGTTGAAGTATACTCGTTTGGAGAAGGAGATGCTGTCTCTCGTGATAGCACTGAAGCGTTTTTGTGTTTGGTTTGGTCACAGCACACCTGTGGTGGTGTATGCTCGCCATAACCCGTTCACTGTTTTGGGATCTATGACCTGTCCTAGTCCGCGGATGGTCAGGTGTTCACTATGTTATGTAAGGAGTAAACTGTGGCTGTGCATTCCTATAACCTCCAGCCCTCTCTCCTCTTAAAATGCTTCCTCGGTCCTCCGGTTGCTGGGGACAGACGTGGCAACAGAAGAGGTTGGTGGTTCCTGCAGTGTTTGCTGCATTGTTTATGTCTGTGGTACGTTTATTGTCGGATCTGTGATTGGCCCGGGATACTTGGGAGATCCTCGTGCTTTATGGCGGGGGGTGTCATGGCCCCGTCTTGGCTGCCCTCTGGTGGCCATGTATATGTTTGCTATTCTCTGCAGGTGTCGCTGAGGAGTGGCATTGGCTGTGCGTGCGTAGGTCCGACGCACATTAACCCTTGTATTATGTTGAAAAAAAATGACATTGATTATGTTGCGGGTCATTTTGACCCGTACTGTGTAAATGCACTCAAAACAGTCAAGAAAACAGGTAAAACCAATGACAACTTTATATAAATATTTAGAAAAGTGACATACAATACATTTTTAATTCCAACGCTATATTTAAGAAATATTTAGTCTAATCTTCTTGTCCTCCTCTCGGGTCAAAATGACAATTCTTCCCTCCCTCTTTCCTCCTGCCATGCTTTCTCCTTCCTTTTTCTCATCCTGTTTTCCTTCTCTCTGTTCATCCTCCTCTATTCCCTTCTTTTCTCTTCCTTCCTTCCTTCCTTTCTCCCTTCTTTCCTTCCTACCTTCCTTCCTTCCTCCCTTCCTCTTTATTTGACCAAAGATTCGTCCTCTGAATCCTCCTTATTGTAGGAAAATTGACAATCTGGATCAGCAATAACATTGTCCTGTATCTGAAAAATCCTCTGTTTCTGAAATCTCTTCCTCTACATCATTATCCCAGTTAAAAATCTGTGATAAAGCCTCCTCAGATGTCATCCTTCTGGATCTCATTTTTGGTGAGTTTGTCAAAGCCTAGCGCACATCGACAGAGAAACTGGAGACAACTAGTTGCAAAGCGGCTTTTGGAAACTGAGAGTAGATGATGGAGATGATCAGTTGTTATCAGATGTGAGCGCTCTTACAACTGGAGATAAACAGTCGATCTCCGGATTCAGTCAGTTGCCTGTGTTCTACTTTTTGGCAATTAGTTGTCCTCCAAAGTTGTAGATCCAGAGATATCACCCGATGTGCGCGCTCCATGGTGCGCTCCAACAACATGTGTGTATCGCGTGTATTGCGCCCTCTACAGTTTATGTCAGAAAACACACTGTAGTTGAGGCCAGTTGCTGTCGATGTACGCGCTGTTATTCCCGAGACTGGCCTGATACAGGAGCGGCCCGTTTTCGCCAGATTGTCGATGTGTACGGGGCAGCAACTCAAAGGCGACGGATATAATCAGTTGCCAGTCCGATGTACGCTAGGCAAAAGAGATGACATGAGAACAGTGACAAGGGTGAGTGACAGTGACAAGTGTGAGAAAGTTCCCTCTCTTCACACACCTGGCTCTGGCTCTCAGAGGCAATCAAAATACAATGTCAAAGAGACATGTTTTTTTGGATCTGAACAACTATTTACCCACATTAAAGCGTCAGGGTCAAAATGACCCGCAACATCATCTTTGTATACAAACTCTGCACAGACATTCCACTACACATCAAAGTGTCCAGATTTTACACACCAGTTCATGACCCTAGATGAGGAAAAGTCACCAAATTTCAGCAAGAAAAATAAAGGATAACAAGTACTTTGATCAACACAAAAACTGAAATGGGTCAAATTGACCCTTAACATAATACAAGGGTTAAAGACCCGCCTCCAGCCACGGGCTGCTGCTGGCTCACTTCACTCCCAGACCTACACCTGAGCGCCCACGTCTTTGTGACATTAGTTTATTCCAGCTTTCTCTTATAATAAACTTTTATAATTGACATTTGTTTGTTTGGTAAATCCTTGGTTATAGCCTAGAGCCGGGTTATAACAACTGTCACCAAAGTCATCACAGTGCCCACCACTTTATACCCGTCTATTTACAACTGTGAACACTTCAGAGTGGAGTAAAGGCTCAGGGTTTGTGAAGCAGCTTTCTTCACGCCAGACAGTCGATTGAATTACTTACACATGTTGTGTTTTCGCAAGTCTATTTGGATGTCAAATACACGTCTGACCCAGAGATCAAGTTTCCATCGTGATTCTTCCATCTGCAGAGGGCACTTGTGTACGAGGCTAACCCCCTGGATTTGAAACTTTCCCCAGAACCCCCCCCCCATTTTTTTGCAATTTTTTAGTTAGATCTATCAAAACGTGCGGTTCATTTACATTCGTAGAATGCATTACAGATTGATCAATAGACTTATAAAATAAGTTTAATAATATCCACTAAATTATTCAGCCTTTTTCATCAGATATGCAAACTTTTCAATAATTGGTTCATTATCAAGCTATAGATGGACATTTTTTGATACATTTTGAAAACATTATGTAAAATGGGGATATTAAGATTAAAGGCCATTTTCAACACAGGATCAAAAGCTTTTTTGCCACTTTAGGAAAAAAAGAAAAGATGAGGAAAAGCGAAAATCCAGAAGGAGGCGTTTTGGCCTGAAAGCACCTGTGGATCGGGCATGGACTCTGGGCTCGTGTAGGGCATGGACCCTGGGCTCGTGTAGGGCATGGACTCTGGGCTCTTGTAGGGCATGGACCCTGGGCTCGTGTAGGGCATGGACCCTGGGCTCTTGTAGGGCATGGATCCTGGGCTCGTGTAGGGCATGGACTCTGGGCTCTTGTAGGGCATGGACCCTGGGCTCGTGTAGGGCATGGACCCTGGGCTCGTGTAGGGCATGGACTCTGGGCTCTTGTAGGGCATGGACCCTGGGCTCGAGTAGGGCATGGACTCTGGGCTCTTGTAGGGCATGGACCCTGGGCTCGTGTAGGGCATGAGCCCTGGGCTCGTGTAGGGCATGGACTCTGGGCTCTTGTAGGGCATGGACCCTGGGCTCGTGTAGGGCATGGACCCTGGGCTCGTGTAGGGCATGGACTCTGGGCTCTTGTGGGGCATGGACTCTGGGCTCTTGTAGGGCATGGACCCTGGGCTCGTGTAGGGCATGGACCCTGGGCTCGTGTAGGGCATGGATCCTGGGCTCGTGTAGGGTATGGACCCTGGGCTTGTGTAGGGCATGAGCCCTGGGCTCGTGTAGGGCATGGACCCTGGGCTCGTGTAGGACATGGACCCTGGGCTCGTGTAGGGCATGGACCCTGGGCTCGTGTAGGGCATGGACTCTGGGCTCTTGTAGGGCATGGACCCTGGGCTCGTGTGTAGGGCATGGACCCTGGGCTCTTGTAGGGCATGGACTCTGGGCTCTTGTAGGGCATGGACCCTGGGCTCGTGTAGGGCATGGACCCTGGGCTCGTGTAGGGCATGGATCCTGGGCTCGTGTAGGGTATGGACCCTGGGCTTGTGTAGGGCATGAGCCCTGGGCTCGTGTAGGGCATGGACCCTGGGCTCGTGTAGGGCATGGACCCTGGGCTCGTGTAAGGCATGGACCCTGGGCTCGTGTAGGGCATGGACCCTGGGCTCTTGTAGGGCATGGACTCTGGGCTCTTGTAGGGCATGGACCCTGGGCTCGTGTAGGGCATGGACCCTGGGCTCGTGTAGGGCATGGACCCTGGGCTCGTGTAGGGCATGGACCCTGGGCTCGTGTAGGGCATGGACCCTGGGCTCGTGTAGGGCATGGACCCTGGGCTCTTGTAGGGCATGGACTCTGGGCTCTTGTAGGGCATGGACCCTGGGCTCGTGTAGGGCATGGACCCTGGGCTCGTGTAAGGCATGGACCCTGGGCTTGTGTAGGGCATGGACCCTGGGCTCTTGTAGGGCATGGACTCTGGGCTCTTGTAGGGCATGGACTCTGGGCTCTTGTAGGGCATGGACCCTGGGCTCGTGTAGGGCATGGACCCTGGGCTCGTGTAAGGCATGGACCCTGGGCTTGTGTAGGGCATGGACCCTGGGCTCTTGTAGGGCATGGACTCTGGGCTCTTGTAGGGCATGGATCCGGAACTCACAAACATCTATGGGAAACTGGCCTGTATTTGGACATCGTCTGGTCCTCCCGGTCTGCGCAGTGGACGAACTCCCATGATGCTTTGGGGCAAATACACATGTGTGGCTCTCATGCACGCGCACAAAGGGCTCGGCTGCGCTTTGACCAACAGAGCAGAGTTAGAGCGGGAAGGTAAGGAGCAGAATTTGTGGCAGTAAAGTGTGGATTTAAAGAAAATGATTTAGGAAGAAAAAAAGTTCAGGATGACACTAAAGGGACACTAAAATCCCCACAAAATATGATCTTTCTGAAACCTGTAGGTTCTCTGTCAGGTTCTCTGTCAGGTTCTCTGTCAGCTGAGGTCGAGCTGTTTTAGTTTACATTGAGTTCTGCAGGACTTTTTTCTGGGTAGCCCACGTGAATTTAGTCTGCAGTACCACAGCGCCCCCTGTGGCCATGGGTGGGACAGCTATAAGCTGTAATACCCTATCCAGTTATTATTATAGATCCATGAGATATTTCCAGAGTTTCTAAGATGGCGTGATAGTGACCCTGAAGCCCCGCCCACTGCGTTCGGTGACAGCACAGGTGGGTGGAGTTAGTTTGAGAGGCACCACCAAAAATATATGGATATGATTCAAAAAACAAATACATCTTCTTTTCATTCTTTTATTGGACAAATTATCTTCCATGTTTTTTTTTTCATTTTTTCCCACTTTATTTACAGTACTAAAAAATAAATCTTTCTTTTCCAAAGTTTTACATTCGACATTTACAAGTGCAATGTGTGACCATCTTATAAAGTGCTTTTAACTTTAACAATTCACAGAAATCATGAAACTGAAGTACATCCATGAAATCAAGAAGTCCGTAACATGAATCAAGTATGCAGTTCTTCTGACGCCACAAAATGGACACCCAAAAACGTTAGCTTGGAGCGCTAACGTGTGTGCTAACGTCACGACACGTAACCCGCTCAGACACATTTAAAAACATGTTACATTTGTTTTCTATCAAGTCCAAACCAGGTCCAATAGAAAGTTAGCTCTGTCATGGTTTTATTTTGATTGACAATCTCTTTGTTTAGTACCCAGTGTTAGCGTAGCGCGGCTAGCTAACGGCGAAACAACACACACGGCTTGATTTGCTGTAGGCACTCGCCCTTAGACCCTGCTTTCGGTTTTAAACAACGTAAATAAATAAAGCTTGTGCTCTGAGTTACGACAGAAGTATAAAAATAGAATGAGTGTGCGCTTTGAGAAAAATAAAGGCAGATGCTACAGACGCTAGGCTAGGCTAGGCTAGGCTAACACTTCCCCGCTCACACTGCTTTACACGGGACCCTTTATTTACACAGTATTTTCAATGCGACAAATCAGAAGTGGATGATTGTGGAAGAAAGTCAACTGCAAATCTTTAAATTCTTATTGGACGGTTACAATCTTAGTTTTAGGATATATTTGTTTTACCGGAAGTGTTTTGAGACAATCGGTCCAAGGTTTATTCACAGCCTTAACAACATAAGAAAGACTGGGTTTGAATCGAACAAGTTTGAAAAGTTTCTCTAAAGCTGGGGTGCTTCTATTTTTGCATTGTGTGTGTGTGTGTGTTGCTTGTGTTTGTGTGTGTTGCTTTTGTTTGTGTGTGTATTCAGTATAGGAATGCACGTATTTAAAGAAAGTGACTTGTGGAAAATATCCATCTACTTTTACGTTACTGTTTTAACACAACCTGCTCAGGGACTGCTGCTGTAGATTAGCAACGCTGCTAAATCCTGCCACAAAGCATCTCTGCTCTCGGCTCATGTTTATCGTACACTGTCCCTGTAAAAATAAAGACCGTACCATATATATATATATTTTTTGTCCAAACAGAAAGAGTTTTGTAAAAGTAAAATGTTCAGAAAGAAGAAGAGACCAGGAAGAGACCGAGAGGAGACCAGGAAGAGACTGAGCGGAGACCGGGATTAGAACAGTAAGAGCTCGGGAAGAGATCAGGAGGAGACCGAGAAGTGACCATGAATAGACCGGGAGGAGACCAGGAAGAGGCCAGGAAGAGACCGTGAGGAGACCGGGAAGGGACCATGAAGAGACCGTGAGGAGACCGGGAAGAGACCAGGAAGAGACCAGGAAGAGACCAGGAGGAAACAGGGAAGACGCCAGGAAGAGGCCGGCAAGAGACCAGGAAGAGGCTGAGAGGAGACTAGGAAGAGACCGGGAAGAGACCACGAGGAGACCAGGAAGAGACCGGGAGGAGATCGGGAAGAGACTAGGAGGAGACGGGGAAGAGACCAAGAAGAGACCAGGAAGAGACCAGGAAGAGAAAAGGAGGGGACCAGAAGGAGATGCTACATTTTTCTTGTTATTATTCCTGATTGAAATGCCTGGGCTGATGGCTTCGGTCTTGTTTGGATTGAGTTGCCTGGACTCTGAACTGTGCTACACAAATAAACTGAGCTGTGCTGAGAGCAGAGGGAACGTCTTTCAAACGACCTGCTCTGGCTCAGACACGACGCAGACCGTGACGTCACCGTGAGCCGAGAGAGCGACACCTCCTCCTCCTCCTTCTAGTCCTCCTCCTCCTTCTAGTCCTCCTCCTCCTCTTCCTTTTAACGCCATGTCGGCTGTTTGAGTTAGCTTTGAATCCTCTCTTTTTCCCTTTTTCTGTCAGAAAAAGCAGATCTAAAAATGTGACAGAGGCAAAAGAGACATGTGGAGCTAGCTACACAGAATTTAGCAAGCAGTTTAATGCTTGCTGTAGTCTGAGAGCTACAAAGCTTTAGCGGCTGTATTTAGAGCCTCGTTATACATTTTAAAGTCATTTTTTGGGTCCGGCTTTGACCATTTTTTAGTGTTTCACCCATAAACCAATCCATCATCGTTTATTGGTGCAAACAATAGGTATTCTTTATATTTACTCATACAATCATCCATAGGGGAGCTACTTTGAAGACTGTGGCAAGCTACTGGTAGCTTTAATTATGCAGATACAAGCCCTAATATCTGACAGAAATCAGATCGGTTGCTAGGCAGTTGCTGTCCCAGAATTTAACTCCAGATAAAGTTTGCTTTAAATCCTCTCTTTTTCACGTTTGTGTCGGAAAAAGCGGATTTTAAAATGTGACAGAAGCCAAAGTTTTTTCCACATGAGTAAAAAACGAGCTCAGAACTAGCTACACAGACTTTAGCACATGGACATTAGCTTATTGTAGTGTGAGAGTTACGAACCCCAGCTTTAGCGTCTGTATTTAGAGCCTCATTATAAACTTTAAAGTAATTTTTTTGGTCCGTCTCGATCGTTTCAAAACCCTTCTTTAAAATGGCCCAGTACATTAGCCGTAACACTTTCACTTTCTAGCTCTTAAATGTTATTTTAAAGTAACCCGTTTGTGTGAAAACGTTTCACATTTACATTTTTTCACAATTTTTGCGAAATGTCGACAGCAACAAAAACCCGACTCGATCAAAAGAACCTGAAAACGCAAACATTTTTTTAAAAACGTGGAAAAATATGGCACTGATTCTGCATTTTGGACACTTTTTTTCTCACAGTAAAATGAAGAATAAATAAAAAGATAAAAAATAGACATTCACACGAACCTTACGATCCACCGCTTACAAAAATATACATTTGTGTTGTTTGCATAAGAATCTACACAATCACACCTTACAACATGTTTGGGTCACATGGTTTCACAATGGTTTGATCCAGTCCAACAGGCTGCGTTCACCAGGTTCAATGGATCCAAACTGTGGGACCCGATTTGGTTTGAAAATATATATCAGGATTAAACTAGATTAAGTTGGTCTCTCTCTCTGGTCTCGCTCTAGTCTCTCTCTGGTCTCTTTCTAGTCTCTCTGGTCTCTCGCTAGTCTCTCTCTGGTCCCTCTCTGGTCTCTCTCTCTGGTCTCTCTCCCTGGTCTCTCTCCCTGGTCTCTCTCTCTGGTCTCTCTCTGGTCTCTCTCTCTGGTCTCTCTCCCTGGTCTCTCTCCCTGGTCTCTCTCTCTGGTCTCTCTCTGGTCTCTCCCTGGTCTCTCTCCCTGGTCTCTCTCCCTGGTCTCTCTCCCTGGTCTCTCTCCCTGGTCTCTCTCCCTGGTCTCTCTCTCTGGTCTCTCTCTGGTCTCTCTCCCTGGTCTCTCTCCCTGGTCTCTCTCCCTGGTCTCTCTCTCTGGTCTCTCTCCCTGGTCTCTCTCCCTGGTCTCTCTCCCTGGTCTCTCTCCCTGGTCTCTCTCTCTGGTCTCTCTCTGGTCTCTCTCCCTGGTCTCTCTCCCTGGTCTCTCTCCCTGGTCTCTCTCTCTGGTCTCTCTCCCTGGTCTCTCTCCCTGGTCTCTCTGGTCTCTCACTTGTGTTTGTATCTATTGGAGGCCCCTGGAGGTGAAGGCAGCCTGCTGTGGAACACGAGTGAAGACAGTGTGAGGTCGCAGCTGCCCCGGGACAGAGCGGCGGAGGAGTGGCTCTTTCACACATGGTTATCGTTACACCGTGATTGGACACAGACGTCACACGGAACAAACGCTCCCAGATCCAGACGCCGTGTGAACGCCACGTGAACGGAATCTACTCCAGGTGGAAGAGAAAACTTTAGAATCATATGAACAATATGTCATCAGTCATTTATCTCAAATCAAAGAGACAGACCCAAAACTGGAAATGTGCCTAATCTGTGGTAATCTGTAACACTTCATCTTAGCCGTCACAGCTAACAGCTAATTACATGCTAATTAGTGAATAATTTAGCTCTTAATTGGTTTTTATTACACACTTATTAGTCCTGAGTCTACACGGCCTCCGAGTTTATACTGACGTCATTATTATGCTAAAGTTAAAAATGTTATTTTAATTAGTACAGTTATTGTTAATTTCTCTCTAGTCTCTCTTTGGTCTCTCTCTGGTCTCTCTCTGGTCTCTCTCTCTGGTCCCTCTCTCTGGTCTCTCTGGTCTCTCTCTCTGGTCTCTCTCTGGTCTCTCTCTGGTCTCTCTCTGGTCTCTCTCTCTGGTCCCTCTCTC